AAGCTATTTATTCGGTTTTGGGGTTGGTTGTTGTAGTTTATTCTAACTATTATTTTGGCAGAAACCGTTTTTAATTTGTGTTTATTTGGGTTGATTATCTTTATTTGTTTTTTCTAACGGTAACTTTATCGGGATTGGTTAGTTTATTTATTTACCTGGATGAATTTAGGTCAATTTATTTTACTTGTATAGTTTCTCTTTCCGGTTTTCGGTTTTTAAGTAACGTAGTATATTTATTTTAATTTTATTTTATTTATTTTTTATCGTTATATAACAGTTATAGCTATTTTTTTCGTCCGACTTTTTAGTCCAACTAATATTTTGGTCATAATGGTTTGCTACTTTGTTTATTATTTACTTTATTTATTTGGGTTCGTTGTCTTTTGTTTTGTTTATTGTTATTATTATTATTATTATTCTATTCGTCTATTCTAACAGGTATGATTTGGTAATTTGGATTAATTAATTTTGCTTATTTTTATTATTTTGTTTACTTGGTTATTTATTTGTTTTTATTTCATTTTTTCTGCTTTCAATTTTTAAGTAACGTAGTAAAAATTTGTTTTCATGTCTGCATTTTGAGATGAGCTCGGATCTTTTATTTAATAATTTATTTTGGTCTGGGAAAGTAATGATAGCTATTTTTTCCTCCAAGCAAAGTTTGCAAGTTTTTGATTGGTTGTTGTAGGCTGATGATCTTTTCCTTATTTTCCAAGATATTTTTGGTGTGATGTGCGTTTTGTTTTTAATTTCCCAGATATACTTAGAAAGCATTGTACTGTTCGCATATTTACTACATAAAACTTCTATGTTTACTTTTATATTCACACGCTCTATCTTTGATATTGAGCACTTTATCCCATAAATATAGCACACCTTAAGACTATATTTCTTATATATATATATATATATATATATATATATATATATATATATATATATATATATATATAAAAACTTCAAACGTTATTTATATAATTTATTGTAATGTACTTGTAATCTCTGATGATGTCTTATGTAAGCCGAAAAGCTTAGACAGGATCAACAATAAAAACATGTAGCAACATGGTGATTTTCTTTTGTGTTTCAGTGATAATGCTGAAAAGCTTATTTGACAATATGAAAGGAATTTACTTAAAATAAATAGACAAAATTTGTCTATATTATTTAACGAAACATGCATTTATATATATATATATATATATATATATATATATATATATATATATATGAACTTCAAACGTTATTTTATGGATACTCGTATTTGAAGGAGACACTCCAATTTTTTAACACAATGTGTGTTACGTGTATCCACCTGCGTTGGCGTGCTTTAGTACTCAGTTCGAGTCTGTCGCAGATCAGCAAGGTTCTATTTTCCCTTTTAGGGGAAGAAGACTTTCCTATTCAGATATTTTTCTCAAAAAGAATTAATAGATTTATCTTTAATACATTTTTATTAATTCAAACCGTTATTATTTAGTGGATACTCATATTTGAAATAGATGTCCCATTTTTATTTTAAACGATGTGCATGATGTCTATCGACCTGATTGTTTGATCCAACGCATGTTTTCTGTTTTCCCCTTCTTAGAAAGCACATTCCTCATTCAAATATTTAATAAAGAAAATGTGCTCGCCAACAGGAAACGAACCTGCATTTGTCCCCTGGTGTGCTTTACCGCTCGGCTACAGAGTGTTTCACAGTTCAGCAAGGCTTTATTTTCCCTTTTTAAGGAAAGCTCACTTTTTCATTCGGATATTTTTTCTCCAAAGCCTATATCCAAAACGTAAACAAAGTAATTTTTAAGGAATTGAAGGATTTATTTTTAATGTGGCTTTTTTTATTCCTTCAAACCGTTATTATTTTGTGGACACTCGGATTTGAAATAGACGCCCCCATGTTTATTTTAAAGTGTGTATTACACCATAAACATAACACTGTTTAAAATGAAATAAGTATGGGATGTCTATTTCAAAGAGGATCTTTTTTTTTTTAACCAATATTTGTTTGTTTAGCGGCATATCAATTCCTTATGGGTCATTTAATGCCGAAATTTAGTTTCGATGATTGACATGGCCTGTCACCTCTGGGTGTTAACTTCAATGTTCATTTTTTATATTTACATATGCTCTATCCCAGCTATTGATTACAATTGAACCATAAATATAGCCTACCTTAAAACGCGCATGCACACACACACACACACACACACACACACATATATATATATATGTAAAAGTGAACATTGAAATCAACACTCAGAGGCGACAGGCTGTTTCATGCTAGACGCAATCGTCAAGCCGCCCTGACGATTGCGTCCAGCATGAAACAGCCTGTCGCCTCTGAGTGTTGACTTCAATGTTCACTTTTACATACGCTCTATCTCTGATATTGAGCACTTTATCCCATAAATATAGCACACCTTAAAAGTATATTTCTTCACACACACCTCTCTCTATCTCTCTCTCTCTCTCTATATATATATATATATATATATATATGTGTGTTTGATAATGTCATTGAATGTGATGGACCAGGAAAACCAACTTAGAATTACTACTACTTTGATACCATCCAGCTTAGAGCACAAACATAAAAAAAAAAAACATATTAGCAACAAACCCCTTAAATATGGTAGACAATTTTCTAATGTTCTTGAATATTCCCGTTTGATGGAATTTAGGGAGTACAATGACCATATCGCGCATTGTCCCCAGCGCTTTCGGCCAATCCATAGCCATTTTCAAGGGGGATTTGTTTTAGTGGTGTTATTTTCTCTCCATGTTTTGACCATTTGAAATGTATTTTTGTGCTTTTTTGAATATTAGTAGGAGCATTTATTCCAAGCCTTCGGTGCCTTATATGTAACATCAAACATTGACTGCTAGTATCAATAAAATAGTACTCGATGTAATATAAGAGAGCTATAAATTATATATTAACAGATATACATTTTTTCCGAGTTTCATGTATAAACGCAATCTTCAGGTGCTGGATTGTCTCAATGCAGAATCTGAAGGTTACGTTGTACATGAAAAATTATGTATATATAGTTTGAATGAAGGAATAAGAAAAAATTGAATGTCGCTTACCTCGTTGTGGAGGAGAAGAAGCAGCGATTTCTTTTATAGAAAGATATTGCGGAAAGAGACGAATTATGGGAAGGAAGGAAAGCTGTAAATCTCGAATGCAAATAGGAGTCCGTGATTTTGTTCGTTTCATGCGAGAGAAGGAGATTTAAGGAAGGACGAGAGAGAACCTGGGAGAGAAGCTTTATTTCTTATTTTTTAGGTCACACATACATATATATATATATATATATATATATATATATATATATATATATATATATGTATGTTAATTATTATTCAAAAATTATAACATAAACACGTTATAAAATCACTACAAAAACAGACATTTTGTTTCAACACTTCTGTTGTCTTATCAAGTGATGGTGTTGAATGTAGAATAAAGGGTTTTAAAAGGTTCAAATCAATCAAACATCCCTCGCTAGGGGAAACGCTGTTACGTAAGCTGGGATGACCAATCTAAATACAAGTATATGAGAATTCAAAAGACTTGACAACGGACTTCAGGTTATAATAATTAATGCTTTAATGTTGGGGTTAGACTAAAGTAGAATTCATTCTAACTAATGAATATTAAATTATACTATAAAATTAAAAATTACCAATTTTAAATTAAAAATTTAATCTATATTAAGTTTAAAATTATAAAGTTATTTAAAGAAGAAACCGAGGAAAAAAAAAAACATGTTTTTCTATTTATTTTGTTTTTATTGAAATTAAGTTGGAATAAACATTAAGATCCAATGCTGCTCTGAACTTCATGACAACGTAGATACATTTGAAGCAAGAACATGGGAAGGGGAGGATGAAATCTTGCAAAAGCCAATACATACACAATCAGATTATGATAGATAAACACGCAGACGTATATAGATATATAAACACGCAAAAAAGCGACAAGACAGGAAATATCTCCACGACCCTTAATATATATATATATATATATATATATATATAAGTGCACATAGAAGTCAACACTTAGAGGCGACACTATGTTCACTTTTATATTTACACACGAGCTCTCTGATATTGAGCACTTTATCCCATAAATATAGCACATCTTAAGACTATATTTCTTCATGGCACAGTGAATAAAGGCGTTGGTTAGATCCAGTGACAGGACCCAAAGTGTGTGAGTTCAATACCCGGTTAAGGCAGTGGAGAACTTTCAGAGGGAAATTAGCAGGAGATAACTGATAACTGATATCCATCAAACACGGCACGTGGAACTAGAACAGTCTACCCCAGTGAGCGAAATAAAGGGTTCAGTTCGAAATTCCAACCACCTGAAGAAGGCCGGAGCGTACAACGGCCGAAACGTTGTGATAAATATGGCAACAAAGATGAGGACAATAGTCCGAATAATGTAAATAATATATAAAATCCGTTGTTCTCTTTAATAGTTGCAGGTTCGGTCAAATCTCCTGTCTTCTTGATTATTGTTCCTTTATTGTTCTCGTTACTTAATAACGTTTCTCGTGTTCGTATGTTCTTTCACACTCTGTATCCCCCCTCCCCGCGTCTTGGTGGCTGTATTGCCTTGCTTGGAATATAATAATCAAAAAATAATTATGATAACTCCTTATCGCCGTAAATTCTTTCCCGTATTTATCTGTATAACGAAAACTCTACGTAAAGCGCAAAACTTTCAACCAAATTATTACGCCTGATTTTCGGAGATCATAAAAAAATAAAAGTCGCATTCAATGAACCATAGATTGGCATATTTTATCTGAATGAAGGAACACATTCGAAAATCGTCGCACCCGCACCGTCCTCATGATACACGCACGCAGGCAGACACACATTAGCTCCATCTTGACAAAAAGAGTTTGAAGTGCACACGTACTGGCACACTGCAGGTGCACGCGGCCATTTTCAATAAAAGAGTGCAGAAAAGCGGAGATATGATGGTCTTTTGTCATTGTGCCTCGCCGTGGCTGACAACTCTTCCTACTCTCCTTTTCGTCCGCCTTGCTCTCCTTTTTCTATTTTTCGCCTTGCTCTCCTTTTGTCTTCCTTTTTTCTTTTACATTTTCTCTTTTTTAGGCTTTTCATTCTTTCTCTTCTTTTTTTTTTTACACGTTCTTTTCTTTTTTACACTTTTCCTCGACTTTGTCTTTTCTCTCTCTCTCTTTTTTTTTTTTTTTTTTTTTTTTTTTACACTATTTTCTCTTTTGTTTACTTTTCTCTTTTTTACACGTCTTCCCTTTTCTTTTTTACACTTTCTCTTTTTTAAAGTTTTTACTCTTTTCTGCTTTTAAACATTTACTCTTTTTTTTTAAACGTTTTTAACGTTTTTTTCATATTTCTCTTTTTACACTCTTTTCTTTTTACACTTTTCTCTTTTTACACTTTTTTCTTTAGACTTTATCTTTTCTTTTTTTCTTTAAACTTTTTCTTTTCCTTTGCACTTCTTTTTTTCACACTTCTCTTTTTGGACTTTTCTCTTGTCTTTTTTACACTTTTGTCTTTTATACACTTTTCTCTTTACACTTCTCTCTTCGTTTTAAACTTTTTCTCTTTTTATACTTTTCTGTTTTTTTCTCTTTTTGCACTTTTTTGTACTTTTTCTTGTCTTTTCTTTTTTACACTTTTTCTCATGTCTTTTGTGCACTTTTCTCTTATTTTTATTCTTTCTCTAGCTGTTTTCTTACTTTTTCTTTGTTTTTTCTACTTTAATACTTTTCTCTTTGTTTCATTTCCTTTTTTTTCTTTTTTTGTAATTACTACATTTAACCTAAATTACTGTTCATGTGGGCGTGTCGGTTGGTGGAGTAGGAATGGGAAAACCTTATCTTTTATTTCTTTCCCTCTTTTTTTGTTTATCATGTATAGGAAGTAACTCGACGGTGGGGAAAATCCGGGTGTACCTGAGAAAAGAGGGTGGCGTAGAAGCGACAAGAGATAAAAAATAAAAATCGATGTATAATTTTTCTTTATTTTCTTCTTACTTTAACTTAACTTTAAAACTTATTTTTCTGGTTATTAAGTTTGGGACAGTCATATTGTGGGGAGCGTCCAGTGAACACCAGAATCTTTACAATAAAGAATTAGCACAACATAGTATGAAGTATTATGAAGCACCTGATAATTATCAAATAAACTCTTTTTTTATCGCTGCCACACCCGACATTACATTAGTCTCTCTCGCTTTCTCTCTCTCTCTCTCTCTCTCTCTCTCTCTCTCTCTCTCTCTCTCTCCTCTTTGGTCTCTCTCTCTCTCTCTCTCTTTGGTCTCTCTCTCTCTCTCTCTCTCTTTGGTCCTCTCTCTCTCTCTCGCTCTTTGGTCTCTCTCTCTCTCTCTCGCTCTTTGGTCTCTCTCTCTCTCTCTCTCGCTCTTTGGTCTCTCTCTCTCTCTCTCTCTCGCTCTTTGGTCTCTCTCTCTCTCTCTCTCGCTCTTTGGTCTCTCTCTCTCTCGCTCTTTGGTCTCTCTCTCTCTCTCTCTTTTTGGTCTCTCTCTCTCCCGCTCTTTGGTCTCTCTCTCTCTCTCCCGCTCTTTGGTCTCTCTCTCTCTCTCTCTCTCTCCTACTCTTTTTTTCTCTCTCCTCACTCCATCTTTCTTGCTATCTTGTCTTGTTTGTTCTGTCTCCTCCATCTGCTTTCTCTTTCTCAATTTCTGCCAACATTAATACAATTTAGTATTGGAAATAGTTGTAGTAACAAGATTGGGTTTAACACCATTTTCAAAATTAAGTGACTCTACCTTCCTAAAGAATCTGCATTTAGTATCCATGCTGTAACCTAGACTCCAAACATCGACCTCGAGATACAGTGGGAAAATATGTAATTATTTCACCTGACTAGCCAATCCCTTCTTCTCTATTTTAAATCCTGTCTCTCTAAACTCTTTCTCCCAATTCTCTCTAATCATCTTTTTCTCAAACTTTATCACTCTCAACCTCTCTAAAGTCACCCTGGAAAGTTTGGAACCTAGTCATCCTTTAATTTCCTTCATACCTGACACCTTCAACCATTCCTACCTGGGTATAAGGGTAACACTTGAGTAATTTTCTTCCCTTCCATTTTTTTTTTTTATGCTTCCATTTTAGAGATTCTCTTTTCTTTTTCTCTTCTAACTTTGCTTTCTTTGTGTTTCTCTTAATTTCTCCCCAACCCCATTCACCCAAAATCATGTGGGGTGACAGTAGGGCACGCACAAAAAAATTTGGGGGAGGAAAATCACCCCCTTCTTGTTATACTGGTTCTGCGTTATTATGCAAATGAGGAGCCTCACCACCACCACTTTTTATTTCTTTTCTTTTATTCAGTTTTTATTTTATTTTATTGGTTGGTGGGAGGGAGGGCTTTTTCCAAGGGTAGGGAAACCTTCTGGCCGTGGGTTTATTCTCTGCTTCTTTACTATGGCTCATGGAGTCTCACGTGCACAGACGTTGGCACATTGTGTGAACGTCTGTCACTAGACACGTGTGTTAATTCCTCTGTGTGTGTGTGTGTGTGTGTGTATATATCTGTTATCTGAGGTAGAGAAAATGGACTAAGAAACTCTGTGTGTGTATATATATATATATATATATATATATATATATAATGTGTGTGTGTGTGTCTGAAGAGGTGCTCAAAGGCTAGAAGTTGTTTGAGTATGTATATTGTGTCTTTCTAAAAAGTGGGTGTGTGCATGTATGTGCATTTTTATGTATGTGGCTGTGTAGCAGAAAGCATGTAAATTATTTTATATATATATATATATATATATATATACTGTGTGTGTGTATTTGCGTAAATATACACAGAACAATCTTTCAAAACAAATGTAGCAAAATTCAGAAAATACTCAGAAAAACATAATATCAAATAGAAATATATATTTGTGTGTATAAGTGTGGCACACATACATGCACTAAATATATAATATATATATATATATATATATATATATATATATATATATATATATATATATATATATATATATATATAAACACAAAAGTATGAATTAATAAGTTCACAACCTGACTTAGTTTACACTCTGAAATTTTTACTGTCTAAAGTTGTGTCTTGAAAATATTCATCACTGAATTAAGTGCATTAACAAAGAAAGAGGTTATGTTTGCAAAATAAATATTTTTTTAGCAAATTCTTTCTTTTCTTTTTTTTTTTTTTTTTTTTTGGTCATCAGATAGCAGAACTGTTTTATCAACTTGTGTGTGTGTGTATATATATATATATATATATATATATATATATATATATATATATATATATATATACATACATACACACTATCGGCTGGGGCTTCAGAATACGCTGACTGCACCACTGCAGAGGGCCAAATACCCCACCTTCAAATGAGACATTCTAGGTAAGATGATAAACTACATCAACAGCAAGGCCTCTGATCTGCAAGTTTTGAGGAGCATGGAACCACCTCTTAATTGCTGGTGTTCCCAGGTACATCCTGACCTGGAGTGGTAGCACCTGTTAGGGTCCCAGCTATGGACAAATAGTTGACCCAAACCTGGGGTCAAAACACTATGAAAGTGTAAAAATAAATTTCAATGCTATCAATACATTTTTGTAAAAAATTATTACCAGTAATGAATTTTTGAAAAAAAATATTACCAGCAGTACATTTTTGAAGGAAAAAAATCGTCTGTGATAATGTCTCCCATTTGAGATGAAGAATTATTACAAGCCAGTTTAATTGGACTATTTTTCTAATCTTGGTTGTTATAATCAGTTACATTTACTAGTTTTTTTCATGACCTTACATATTGTTCAAATGAAACAGAAAAGCAAATTGGTTTTAAAATCGTTTCATAAAAGTTCTGAGTAAAATAAATGTTTCTTCACTTGTTTTTTAGACATATTAGTTAAATAAAAAAGGTCTGTGTGTTTATGTGTGTAAAAGAAAGGTATTGATTTATTCATATATATTTCCGAGATGAAGTATTGTAGCTATTTACACTATTTACATTGTTTGGATTGTTGTCCTCATCTTTTTTGTCATATTCACGATATCCTCAAGGGCACATGGCCCAGTGGATAAAAGTAATCCAAAAGTGACTTGATCCAAAGAATTTTGAGTTCAATACCTGACCACAAGGGAAAACAAAAAAAAAAAAACCTTGAGTTACTAAAATATCCAGAAAAGGCATGGCATGTGGAACTAGAATAATCTACCCCCATGGACTAAAAGGGTTTGGTTTGAAATTCCAATGTATATCATCTGAGGAAGGCTGGAGTGTACAGTGGCTGAAATCTTGGGAATATGATAATAAAGATGAGGACAACAATGTAAATTATGTAAATATATAGAGGTGGTATCCATTGAACTTTCACCTGTGTCCTTGGATGTAATCCTTTCAGTAAAGTGGGTAAATGATTGGAGGTACCTTTGAGATCATGGATAGCCCAAGCTGAATCTTGTTGAAGTAATTGCATCCACTGACTTTTCAGTTGCTGACTTCATTGCTATTTCCTTTTCAAGTCTCTGAACATAGGACTTTTGATAAACAAAATCATCCATTATTTTCCTCTTTGACATGTGGGATAGTTCTCTATTATGTCTGTGCAGAATGTATTCATTGAAATTGATTTTATTTCATGTGTGGGTATATATGCATTTTACCCAAACTAGTTTTTTTTTTACTGTATAATGAGTGTGAGCCTGACTGGGTGGTCCATGCAAAATTTGGAAACTAGGATTGACATTTAAAATTGATCAACCAAAGTACATACAGTTTGTAGATTCATCAACTTTGTAAAACCTGATCAAACCTGATAGATTTTTTTTTTTTTTGTGAAGAAAGGCTTTTTGGTCGGACTGAGAAATTTTCAGCACCACTTCATGTGTGTATGTTGTTTGTGTGTATATATATATATATATATATATATATAAATTAATTGATTTAAAATGTTTTTTTCTCGCTACACAGTTCTAACCAGGTTTCAAAAATGGAAGCTAAAAGCCACGAATTTAATTTTGCAATTCAGTTAAAGACATTAGTTCCATTTCATCCTCAAGCGAATTTTGGAGTCACTGGATTATATATCTTACTGTTCTTTCTTTTTATTTATATACATATATATCTTACTGTTCTTTCTTTTTATTTATATACATATATATACACACACACCCAAGTATAGGATTGGTGTATACAGAATAAATTCTAATAACCAACAATTACTATTCTTAAGAGTGCTCAATACAGAGTAGAGCGAATTATTTATTTAAAAATTATAACATAAATATGTTATAAAATCACTACAAAAATGGCCATTTTGTTTCAACACTTCTGGTGTCTTATCAAGTGATGATGTTGAATATTGAATAAAGGGTTTTAAAAGATTCAAGTCAATTAACCACCCCTTGCAAGGGGAAATGCTGTCACATAAGCTGGGATGACCAATCAAAATACAAGGATACGAGAATTCAAAAAAAAAACCAGCAAAGTTTTCTAAAATAAAAGAAATGTGCCTTTCAGCAGAGTTTGCATATGTAGGAGTAATCATTGTGCTTTTTGACTGCTCAGACATGATGGATATCAGAGCAAAGCAAGTTTCAATTACCCTGATGAAGAAAAGCATATTTCTCAAAGCCCATATCTGTTAACTTTATTTTCACCGCCATAAATTTCTAAGGAATTCCTTTTCTATGTGGCATGTCCATTCAGGATGTTGATGATCATGGCCCTCCACAATATAATAATAATATCAAG